ATTTTCGCAATTGCGAAACATGAAATGTGCTGTGGATCCGGCTAAGCTCCTCAGGAAGCTCTAGCCTATAAGCCACTCTGCCAACCCTGGCAATAACCCTGAACGGTCCAATGTGACGGGGACCCAATTTTCCCCTCTTCCTAAAGCGGATCACTCCCTTCCAGGGTGAAACCTTCAGGAGAACCATGTCACCCACCTGAAATTCCAGCTCAGATCGGCGTCGGTCAGCATAACTTTTCTGCCGACTCTGAGCGGTCTGCAGTCGCTGTCTAATCTGCTGTATCATCTCGGTAGTTTGCAGAACTACCTCTGTCCGACCCATCACCCTGTGCCCAATCTCGCCCCAGCAGACTGGGGTCCTACACTTCCGCCCATACAACAGCTCGAAAGGTGGGGCGCCAATACTGGAATGATAGCTGTTGTTGTAGGCAAACTCCACAAGCGGTAGGTGGGAATCCCAACTCCCACCGAAATCAATGACGCACGCCCTCAACATATCCTCAAGGGTCAGAATGGTCCGCTCACTCTGCCCTTCAGTCTGCGGATGGAACGATGTACTAAAATGCAGCCTCGTACCTAGTTCTTTGTGGAACTTCTGCCAAAAACGGGAAGTAAATCGAACGTCCTGATCGGAAACTATGGAAACGGGGACCCCGTGGCGAGAGACAATCTCGCGAACGTATAGGTCGGCCAACTTCTCCGCCGACGAACTCTCCCGTATGGCTAGGAAATGGGCACTCTTGGTCAATCGATCCACGATGACTCATATAGCATGGAACCCCTTTGCCGTCCTTGGCAACTTCGTGAAGAAATCCATCGCGATCCGCTCCTATTTCCACATGGGAATCTCCAGGGGCTGCAGCTTACCATGCGGCCTCTGGTGCTCGGCCTTGACCATCCAACAGGTCAAGCACCTCTCAACAAACCAAGCGATATCTCGCTTCATGCCCGGCCACCAATAACTCAAACTCAGATCATGGTACATCTTGGTGGCTCCCGGATGAATAGAGAAGCAAGACTTATGAGCCTCCTCCATCACTGTCTGTCGGACCCCTCCGGACATCGGAACCCAAACCCGACCGTAACGGGTCAACAATCTGCGGCTATCCTGAACAAACCGGGCGCTTTCGCCCTTAATCTTCTCCAACTTCCAGTTTTCTGGTCTCATACCCTCAACCTGAGCATCCCTGACCAAACCCACCAGCGGGGAATCCACCGCTATCCTCATACACATGGCTGGGGCCGAGGTCCTAGCTGACTTGCGGCTCAGAGCATCCGCAACCATGTTCGCTTTACCAGGATGGTAAAGGATCTCACAATCGTAGTCCTTGACTACATCCAGCCACCTGCGCTGCCTCATATTCAGGTTTGGCTGATCCATAATGTGTCTCAAACTCTTGTGATCTGTGTATATGGTACAACGGACCCCGTACAGATAGTGCCTCCAAATCTTGAGAGCGAAGACCACCGCTCCCAACTCAAGATCGTGCGTGGGGTATCTCGTCTCATGCGACTTTAGCTGCCGCGATGCATAAGCTATCACTCGTCCCCTCTGCATGAGGACTGCCCCTAAGCCTGTGATGGACGCATCACAGTATACCACAAAGTCTTCCACTCCCTCGGGGAGTGTCAACACTGGCGCCTCACATAAACACTGCCGGAGGGTCTCAAACGCCCTCTGCTGCTCAGGGCCCCACCGAAAATCCACTCTCTTCCACGTTAGACGAGTAAGGGGTACGACACCTTGGAGAAATCACGAATGAATCTTCGATAATACCCTGCTAAACCCAAGAAACTCCTGATGTCCGAGGGAGATCTCGGAGTCTCCCACTGCATAACCGCCTCTACCTTGGCCGGATCGACCAAAATCCCCTCCTGGTTAACGAGATGACCGAGAAACTGAACCTCTCGCAACCAAAACTCGCACTTCGAGAACTTGGCATACAGCCGTTCTCGTCGAAGCACCTCTAACAGCTCCTTGAGATGCCCCTCATGCTGCTCTCGGGTCTTGGAATATACCAAGATATCATCTATAAACACAATAACCGAGTGATCGAGCATCGGTCTGCAGACTCGGTTCATCAGATCCATGAACACTGCTGGCGCGTTGGTGAGCCCAAACGGCATCACCACGAACTCGTAATGACCATAACGAGTCCGAAACGCGGTCTTCTCCACGTCTTCCTCCCTCACCCTGACCTGGTGATATCCTGATCTCAAATCGATCTTGGAAAACTAAGATGCGCCCTGCAGCTGATCGAAAAGATCGTCTATCCTCGGAAGCGGATAACGGTTCTTCACCGTTAACTTGTTCAGCTCCCTATAGTCAATGCACATCCTGTGCGAACCGTCCTTCTTCCTGACGAATAGGATCGGTGCTCCCCAGGGTGAACTACTCGGACGAATAAACTGCTTACCTAGCAGCTCCTGTAACTGAGATGACAACTCCTGCATCTCTGGCGGTGCCAGTCGGTATGGCGCCTTAGTGATAGAGGCCGCACCCGGCACCAAATCAATCCTAAACTCAACCTGCCTCTCCAGAGGCACTCCGGGTAACTCCTCCGGAAACACATCAGCAAACTCTCTAACCACCAGAACCTCTGAAACTGAGAGTTGCTCCCTAACCCGCGTATCTACCACATACGCCAAATAACCGGCACACCCGTGCTGTATATACTGTCGAGCCCTGGCTGCCGAACAAAACCCTGATCCCAACCTGGTGCCCTCGCCATATACTACCAGTTCTCCCCCACTTGGGGTTCGAACCACCACCCGCTGCCCCTCACAGTCGATCATGGCGCCGAAGCGGCTGAGCCAATCCATCCCTACAATCACGCATACATCACCCATGGGGATAGGAATCAAATCTATCGGGAAAGGCACCCCGAAAATCTCTAACTCGCATCCCCGGTAGACCGAAGAAGCAGAAACCTCGTGCTCGTTGGCGATCGAAACTCGCAACGGACACTCAAGATCATCTCTCGTCATACTGAACCCCTAGAGAAGGTCTGAGATACAAACGACCGACTCGCCCCCGAGTCAAATAATACCAAAGCGGGAAAAGAATTCACTAAAAACGTACCTAACCACAGGTACAATCAATAAGCATAACATCAATACAATAACTGAGACAGAGAATAAAAACGTACCAGCAACCACATCCGGTGCTGCCTTGGCCTCCTCGGCCGTGAGCTGGAAGGCGCGACCCTGAGCCTTCGGAGGCTCCACCTTGACTGGCCTCCCATCTCCAATCCTCCCAACAGCTGGCGCGGAACCCTGCGCCGTCTTGGCGGCGAGCTGCGGACAGTTGGTCTTCACATGACCAACCTGATGACAATGGTAACAAATCCTCATATCTGCTGGAGGGGCGGACTGACGGCAGTCCCTGGCATAGTGCCCCTCCTTGCCACATTTGTGGCACCCACCTCCTGCTCGACAAACCCCCGAATGAACCTTGCCACACTTTCCACAAGTGCGACTCTGATGACCCCCGGACCGTGTATCAGCGGTTTTAGACCGCTTAGGCGCCGGCTGAGACTGTGCCGGTGCCTGACGCTGCTCCTTCAGCTGCAGCTCTATCTCCAACTCACGCCGCCTCGCGGCTTCCTGAAGATCCAGGAGGGTCTCACAATGCTGAGTAGACACAAACTGTCGAATATCAGTCTTGAGCATACTCAGATAACGAGTGATCTGAGACTGCTCTGAAGCAAACTCCGGGCAAAACATAGCCCTCTTCGTGAACATACGGGTAATCTCCATCACTGACTCCCCATCCTGTCTCAATGTCAAAAACTCATGAGCAAGCCGCTCCCGTTCCACGCACGGAACGTAGCTGGTGCGAAACATATCCCGGAACTGCTCCCAAGTAACAGCAGCCCGCTGATCATCAGAATATGAACCCATCGTCAATCTCCACCAGTCCTTTGCTCCGAGCCTGAGCAGGTTCAGAGCACACCTGACCTTCTGGTCAGCAGGACATGAGTACGTGAAGAAACAACCCTCCACGTCAGACAACCACCGCATAGCCCTGATCGCATCCTGAGTACCATCAAATGTCGGGGGCTTCGTATTATCGAAGTCCCGGTACTAGAAAGCCCTGCCGGCTCCTCCTCCAACCCTTGCCGCAGTTACAGCCGAAGTGGCTGCAGCGGCAGCTGTCTCTGCTAGAGCTGCATAACGCTCATCAAAATACTCAACCATCGCGGTCTTAATCGACCCAAACATCTCTGGCAGCTGCGCTCAGAACGCAGCAGCAATCTCGTCGTGCATGATCTCCCTGATCCTGGCATCCAACTCCTCGGTCCCTATCTGAACCACGGGCTCAGGTGCTACCGGCACCTCCGACCCTCCGTCTCCCGACCCCGATCCTGATCCGGATCCCGAAGCAACACGTCTCGTCACCACCATACTGGAATATACATGCATGACATCAGATAAACAACATAATATCGGGAGACCCAAAACTCACACATCCTAGGGGTTGTGACTTCCTTGCTACGCGTATGGGTCCTGTGCTTTCAGTAGTACGGTCCCATACTACCTTCCACACCTACCCATATTTTTCTCAAGTATCACCACAACACCCTAATACTATACTCAACATAATGTGCGCTCAACCCTCACTACTAGGGGACATCGCCTTTCTCACAACTGATCCCACAACTCTGCACTACTCACACCTCCATGGAACTTCCATCAGCCCCTGCAGCGCTAGTGTATGCTAGCCGCACATAACGCTGGACCCGATAGACTTTCGAATATCCAATCCCACCCTAAGGTCGAATCAGACATTCTCAGGCTATAAGATCTTAACTATATACAGCCATGATGCATACACTAAACATCTACAGTTATGATGTCAATCCCATATACAAGAAACCCTAGGCTAATAGGTGTCATATAAGCAGGCCAATCTATCATGCGATTCCTGAAGATCCCTAGCCTAGCACTAGCATGTTGTTCTAACATATCAGAATATCAAATAACTGTATGGTATTTTGGGGTTTACTTACAGGCTCCGGCTGATCGTACCCTCTGCATCCTCCATCCTTTATTTTCAAAACCATTTTAAAAACTTTCTTTCCGAAAATCCCCTTGATTTAAGACTGGATTCACACGAGTGTTCCTCCAATTCACTCAAACCAAGGCTCTGATACCGAACTTGTAACATCCATAAATTTCACGCCAAATTCAAACTTTTTAAATCATAAATAAAAGTCAAATAGTATTGTTTACAAAATGTTTTCAAATCAATATCCATCAGAGTGTCCCAAAATCACAGCATAAGGATGAGGAGCGGTACGGTCACGCCTTTGCCTTGCCACGACCCCTGATGTACCTGAAACAATAACTGAAAACTGTAAGCCCAAGGGCTTAGTGAGCTACCCCCAAAATACCAATACCACACTGACAATATCATATCAGTAACAATCAATCAAGCAATCATGCATACTGGGCCATTGGCCTGACTGGACCGCCCTACTGGGCCTGAAGTCTATCTAAATCTGTCCCTGGACCGCCCTACTGGGCCTACAGTCTATCTGAATCTGTCCCGAGCCTTCGGCATGACTGATCCGCCGCGGGCCTGCAGTCTCCCCGGACCGCTCATAGGGTATGTTGGCCTTCAGCACAAAGCAGGACCGCCTCAATCCAACCAACAAGCAAATAACCATGTGCGCATAACTATCACATACTGGCATATACAAACATCAACATATCTGTCACACTGATCATCAACTATAGAATCCTCTCGTAACTAGAGTACCGACCTAGCAGGTCACTAACATACCAATCCATACGGATCATAACCTACCCTTTATCCTGATTCTGATCTAACAGATCAAATCCATATGTAGCATACCATAACAATCGATCTAACCGATCTCTAGCATAGCAACCATCCTAAACCAGGATGAAATCTAGCATAGCGATGACGTAGCAACAATCCTAAACCAGGATGTAATCTAACATAGTGATGAACATAGCAACCATCCTAAACCAGGATGTAAATCATAAAGGGCCGGCCTTGGTGCCGTAGACCCTATCGATATAGTGATAACTCACCTCGCAGATGTCGACTCGGAAGATAAACTCCAACTCTCGGATCACTTGACACAGGCTCCACCACCTATGACCATAATACAATATATCCATAAGTCCTTAATCTTATAAGGTACTCCATAACCCACCAGTCAACCCCTGGTCAAAGTCAAAGTCCTCAGTCAAGGTCAACAATCCCTGTTGACTCCAACTCGCCGAGTACCCCTGCCTACTCGCCGAGTTCCTTGAAGTACAATCCACTCGCCGAGTCATCGGGGTGACTCGTCGAGTTCCTTCGAATCTCGTTCCAACTTAAAGACCACTCGTCAAGTTCCCTCCTTGCAACTCGACAGTCACACGCGTATACAGGTTCTAGGGAAAACTCATCCGACTCGCCGAGTTGTTCTTCAACTCGTCGAGTCTTATGGTGATCTTCATCGGACTCGCCGAGTTGTTCATCCAACTCGTCGAGTTCACGACTATCTTCAAGTGACTCGCCGAGTCAACCTTGCGACTCGCCGAGTCCATCCAGTCCTCTTTCTATACAGACTTGCTTTGAGCCATGCAGTGGCTCCAAATCACATATCCAAGCTTCTAGGGCATACGTATCACGTAAAGTTGCAAACTTTACGTGCATGCATGGCCATAAAGGCTCTAAATGGTTATTCTAAGTTCTTAATGGAACTTCATGCTCAAGAGGGACCCTAATCACAACCAAGACTGTGACTTTATGCTTCTAGAATCCAAGGAGGGTTCAGATCCGAAGTTACAACTTCAGATCTAGCCCATAACTCATCATCCCAACTTAAAAATCCATAAAGCCCTAGAAACTCAACAAAAGGGAAGAAAATGAAGTAAGAATGGCACTTTGATACCTCCATAAGATGCTAGCTGAGGTAAATCCTGCTTCCCACTCCTTCCTTGCTTCAATTTCCTTTGCACTCTTAGCTTTCTTTTCCCAAGATCCTCTTCTCCAAGCTTCAAACCCACACCAAGGCACACACACACGAATTAGGGTTTTAAAGGGGCTCTCAAAGACTGTAAAGCGGCCAAAGGAGGCTAAGGCTCCTTTAAATAGGGGTGCAAACCCCGGGATTTAGGGTTTCAATAGCCAGCTCCTACTCGCCGAGTCCCAATATGGACTCGTCGAGTAGGTCACTTAATACGCGTGCCCACCCCGCACCTACTCGACGAGTAGGTCAACCAACTCGCCGAGTAGAGCTTTACCCCTTTAATCTTATTTAACAATACTTGAGAATCGGGGCGTTACAGAGTCAAAGAAAAACTAAACCAAATCCTTTGTAATTTACTCTTTATTTCTTAAATCTAACAATTTTATTAAATTTTCCAATTATTAAAATATAAACTATAGTAAATAAACAAAATTGAATGTGACGGTAATATATAAGAAATATAAAGTTATAGACTTTTAATTAGAAGTGCAAATGGTATTTTATTCGCATAGATTGAATTTCCAATATTATTATTTTTAATATTATTTATTAAAAAAAAACAATATTACAATTAATAAGTTTTTCTAAATTAATGATATATTATTTTATTAGATAATCAATTTTTTAATTCTATTTAAAATTAACACCCGTGAGTTCCACGGGTTTTAACCTAGTATTAATATTAAAACACAAGAAAGTTACAATTTAGTGAAAAAATAAAAGAAGGTCATAGAAATAAACAGTACCAGAAATACCCCTATGAGAAATGGAAGCCATTTTGGTCCCTTGACATGCTTCTGAATATATGTCCAACTCATCAGATGAATTCTTTTAGATATAAGCAGAAATACTATGTGTATATAGAACTAAAAAACCAAACGTACATTTGACCTTTTTTTTTATACTGCATCATCCCATGAACAAAATCTTTATTTAAATATAAACTAAAACAACTTACAAATATAACAACATTTCAACCTACTTTTCTTTCTTTTTCTCACAGTTGTTTAAGTTTTGAAGGACGCAAAAGTTCATTCCCTGTGTGTGTGAAGGAAAAATTACAGCATATAATGAAGAGTTAGTTGATTTACTGATATTTTTTAAGTGCAACAGCCACCAACTTGAGAAGCAGAGCCAACTCTTCCTCCTGAAGGCCCCAGATTGCCACACATCCAACTTTAATCCAAAAGACTGCCAATATGCAATTAAAAAATATATATACACCTTAATTTAGCTCACAAATATATTTGGAAACGATAACTTTATATAGGAAAAACAAAATTGGACTTGCCTCATTTGATACATTTTTGATTTCATTCTGAATCTTCTTGTAGATAGTTCCAGCAGTGTTGATGAATGCCTGCAACAGAAGTCAATATTGAAAACTAGACAAAACTTCTAAATATAAACATACCCGTGATTAAAGTGGTGATATACAAATGTCATATAATTTGAAGGTATATTAACTAAAGTTACTAATATGATCCCGTGATTAATTTTGCACTTAATTAGGTATAAATTTAAGCAAATTCAAATTTCAAATTTTTAAACAATTACTCAATTTTCAAAATTGGAGCCAAATGCATATCTACCTGATTGTGTTTCCGTTGTTAAAGATTTTCAGGGTTTTCCTTTGAACAGCTTCACTTTTCGCTAATATCTTGAGATACAACATTTCTGAAGAAATAAAACAAGGTAAGAATTTTTCGACATAATGTATATTCTATTACAAAAACTATGATTAACAATCGATTGATCAATTCTTACATTCAATCTTGCTTTCTTCAACCTCCAAAGTTGCGTTTATTCGGTCTCTGACTACGACATCAGCTGTTACTATATGTAAGCTTCTCTTCACTTCACTTTTCTAATCGATTCTGTATTAGTATCTTGCTTCATCGATCTAGATTGAGAAACTTTCACACCGTTTCAGAACTAAATCGGTGGTTATGGAAATATGTATATAATCGGAATTCTAGGTCTGAGTTTCTTGTACATCGTTTGTGTTACAAACAAAGGGGAAAGGGGGAAATATTGGGATACCAATAAATGTTAGGTGAAGAGGGTTCTTTTGATAAAAAAAATTTTATATAAAATGATTAATATGATGCTTTTTGTTTGTTTCTTTTTTTTTCTAATAAAATATTTACATAATTTTTATTATTATATTTCCCAATTTAATTTTACGAGAAATATAAATCAACTAATAACATATAAATAAAAAATTATATGTCGTATCTTTTGATTGCATAATATTTGTATATCATTATACAATTCTAACTATTTTTATTAAATTATATTTAAAAATTGTCTTAATTTATAAATAAAACATCTTAAATATATAATATATAACTAACTCATTACACATTCTAATTTATAACTATCATTTGTTTGTTATTTTATTATTATTAAATTTCTTTATAGTTATTTTCAAATTATTAATTTCCTTTTTAAGCTTACTATTTTATTTTTATTATATATCAAACAAGAACATGGATGCCACATACGCTAGAGAAACAAGAAAAAAAGAAAGTTATACTTGGATAATAAAAAATCCAAGAAAAACTGTACCACGGAATCGTCTCAACGTATATCTTTTGCACATGCTATTCATTTTAGCGCATACGGTAATTTTCTTACTTTCTTTTTCATATGTAATATGTTTTATTTATTTATTTTTAATCTGTTCTTCATAATTATTTTTAAAATAAATAAAAATTTAAAAAATATAATATATTGAACTTTATATAACAAAACGTCTTTAAATTATTTTCTATTATTTTACAGGTTCAATTAAAACGTCTTTAAATTATTTTCAATTAAAACTACAGACTCTACTAATGCAAAAGAGAGGAGAAAAATTAGAAAGTTATATTTGGATAATAAAAAATCCAAACAAACTTCTAATACATCTACGCATCCAAAAAACCTCTATTTCACATGTTTCTCACGTGTCGAATACAACCTATGTTATTCATTCATTACACTTTCTTTTTTAACTATATGATATATCAAATTTCAATATTATTAATGTGAAATTATAAAATTAATATTATTTGTTTTATTACTAACTCTTTTTTCTAATTATATAACAGATGTCTACAATCGCGTTGTCATTTACTATCTATGGATTGCTACAGAAACATTACATCAGATAAGGAAAATATAAAGTCAGTCAAATCATTTGTATATCAACATACAACTATTCGTTATCCTTCTACCAATATAAACGTTCTAATTTGTATCTTTATTTTGTCAGGAAATTATATTATCAATAATAACAATCAAACACTGCTATCTATTAACAATGATAATTCGGTGTTTGATATTGGCATGACATCCACCGGTCGTTCAACCATCATTCAAAAATTTCATCAATAAAGTTACAACAGGGAAAACATCAATTAAAAGGAAGGCTAGACATATATCTGCAATACCTATGTTTGACTTAACATTAGATGAGAAAATTAATGATGACCAAATATTGAAGATGTTTTCCGCGGTACTTCGATAGGTGATCATAATTATACAAAATTTTATATTATTTATTTTATTTTTAATTATATTCAGAAAATTTTATTATTTATGGTAGTCCACAGATTACTTGGATCATGGAGACCAGAGACTTTCTATGTCCATGTGTCATGCAAAACTATGGAAAAATGAATCGGTTAGAGGGAAACAAAAAGGAATACATATTATTCCTTATGTTGTGGTTACGACAAAGTTGAGCTACCACCCTTAAAAGAAGCACCTTCATCTTACAAAAATCTTTACCGTTCCGTAGATTCTAAAAGCAAATACTTCATGAAGAACATTCGACGTTACAATTCAATGTTTTCATTTCATCAATGGGAGGCAAAGTTGATTCATCTATCAACACAGGCAACGCACCATACATATTCAGACTTAGCGGTCAAAATTATCATAGTATGAGAAGTCTTCTACCTACAGGCGGATCAAGACCAAAATTATGTCAGTTATACATATATGATACGGATAACGAGATTTCAAATAGATCGACAAGTATTGGGTATATTTTTACAATCAACTTTAATAAATCATTTCACATCATTTAATTTTTTTACTAATAGTAAATAATTTTTTATAATAATTTCAGTAGACCAACAACTGCTTCTACATCAAGTTCAAGACCATATGATCTCCAGATTATAGAATTTTTGAAGGTTATGTTAGATTCAAACAATGCGTTGGTCAAGTCTTATAGGATGGTAAGAGACAGTCTTCATGAAAATCCTGGCGCTAATTTGAAGTTAAGACTAATCGGAAAACAGAGAACAAGATGGAAGGACGTATAACTTACCAACTTCTTCTGAGGTAGCCACTTTAATTGTTGGTGACATTCGGACTCAATTGAAAAAGAGACATCATTGTTGAAACCTCATCAGGATTACTAAAGCGTATCAGTGAATTACATCCTTCTTACCTTGCTCTTCAGTATCCATTACTATTTCCATATGGCGATGATGGTTACAGAGTTGACATCCTTCATAGAGGTATTACATCTTCAAGTAACAGCAAGCGCCCAACATGTACGATGAGAGAATTTTTTGTTTACAGAATTCAAGATAGAGATCAATCGTTCTCACTACTTCTTAATGCAAAAAGGTTGTTCCAACAATTTTTAGTTGATGGTTTAACCATGATTGAAAGTGAGCGATTATTTTTCATACGTAAGCAACAAAAAATTCTTATATGTGAGTCTTATGAGAATTTGCGTAATCATCAAGCACGTGGCAGTACAGATATTTTCGGACGTTGGGCAACGTGTGATCTTACCTTCTTCATTTTACCGGTGGTGCACTTATATGATGCAAAACTATTTGGATGCCATGTTGCTATGTAATGGTTTGGATATCCAGATTTTTTCATAACCTTTACGTGTAATCCAAAATGGCCAGAAGTTCAAAGGTTTTCTTAAGGAACTCCACGTCATCCTGAAGAGATAGACCGGATATATTATGTAGGTTATTTAAGATTAAGTTGGATGCATTTATTAAAGATTTAAGGGAAAATGAAATTTTTGGCAAAGTTCAAGCAGGTGTGTGTTATCAAACGTGTGTTATCAAATTGTTCAACTATTATCAATTATACACTGTGTGTGTTCAACTATTATCAATTATACACTGTGTGAGTACATCAATTATCAAAATATTATCATGTCTTCTGCAGTGAGATGATGCTAAATTATTGCATGAAAA